GCCTATGAGAAGGTCGTCATGTCTTCCTCACAAACATTTACAGCTGCCGTATACGTAGTCTGCCTTTTCAGCCTGTACAAAAAAATCGACTCGGCAAAGATTTTTCTAGGAAATGATCCAATGAACCTGAGGTGTGGTCTGTCACCGGGAAGAGGAAGGGGTGCACGGAGCTGACGTGAACTGTTGTCTTGTTTTCTCAGAAAATGATGCAATAGAATAATCGTTCCCATGTACAAGTAGATATGGGTGCTGGCAACTTTTCCAGCTCACCGCTCTTCTTTATCGGAGCAGGGAATACATTGCGGTTATCCTAAATAAATGAGGTCCCCAGACCGTCCTCTGGAGCGATTTACTATTGTTCAAATGTCTATCAACGATCTGTTCTAGACCACAGTATTCAGTGTTTTACTACAGGTAAAAGGTCAATGGCCTAGCGGTGTTCACATGCTTGATGCATCTATAAATTAAAGACAATCAGCACCATTTTTTTTAAAAGGTCACTTCCTTGTCTGGGTGTTGCCACGTACACGGCCGATGTTATATCCGCCAGGGAGGTGTGACTGTCATTGTCACCGGCCGGTACCTGGCACAGGAACAACGGACAGAAGAGAGCTCCGCACTAGTCTGCGCTTTTCCTACCGTCCTGCTACCAAACAACAACTCTACCACACACAGGTATGTCTAAATCAGATAGACGTGCGACTCGCATTTATCCATGATCCTGATTTTGTCAAAAAGCGAAATCTGTTAACCCAAGTCATTGGAGTGTTTTCACTTATAGTCTCCACCAGGCCTTTCTAACGTAATACGGATCATAGAATTCGGCAAAAAAGGAGAGTAAAATTGGCCAAGGGAGTCGGGCCGCGGGGAGGTAGTTTCTTTCCCCCCGAAGCGGCCAGTAAAGCCTATAAGACGGCCAAACTCCCCCGGCAAATATTCTCCTATATGTAGCCAGCGTAGTTAGTCTGGTAGCGACTATGTTTTCAACATTGAGACATGTTTTCCCTCTTGTCTACCATAAATTGGGTTCTGTACACGAAATGCGTGTTAGTTGGAGGGTAATTACCCCACATGAATTTGTCTTTGATGCGTTTATGGGGTTTGAAATAGCTAGCTATCTGTCTATTTGTGGTTTATTGTTTCAGAGTAATAAGCCCGGTGGGAAGCATATGAATGCTTCACCACACAGTATACGTTGTATGTAGTGTTTACTTTGAAATAGTTCGACCTGGATCGTGAAATAATATGGACTTTGATACTTCCATGTTTTGCAGCTGTAGTATCGCCATTTCAATATTTCTGCACCACTAGATACATCGAGAAAGTATAAAATATCAATATTGTCTCTGAACTGTGCCCTGTGTGTAGCCTGGGTTCCAGCCTAGCTTAGTTTGCCGGGGCTCCAGGGTAGGGTGGTGTGGTGTTATGTGAGACAGGATACACGTGAATATAGGGGGAAAATATCATATGTATTTTGCAATTTGTAAAAAATTGGAGAAAAAAAAGCCCTCACCTCACCTCACCAGTCCCATAGCAGCCAGGTGACTGCCGTAGGGGAAAAAAGCCCCACCAGGTTCAAAAGTTGTTGACCAACACCTAGTTATATGAGCTCTAGCGATTTGTACGTGCACGGGCATTCATGCGCTGCTGTGTAAACACTTCAAAGAAAAAGTGAATAACCGGCACACCTGGTAGGCGCGGCGTCAACGCCAATGTTCACATAAGCTGCATGTTGCTGCGTAGGAAGTCACTTCAACACTCCAGTCCACCTGGCCGACAGCATGGGTCTCGCAGCAGCTGGTTTCCTGGTCACCGCCGTGTGTCTTGTGTGTGTGCAGCCAAGTCTGCAAACCAACACGAAAACCCTACTGGTCTCCATGGATGGTTTTCGTTGGGACTATTTGAAGGCAAGTATACCATCCAGCCATGTTTCATTGTTGAATTTTTTTGAGCGGACCTATAGCTGGTAAAGCTGGATTTCATGCTGGTAACTTTTAAGCATGCCACCTTAAATTAAACATGACTTACACTGAATGATTGAAATATTGGGAGAAAATTGCAGAAGACACCTTTCCAGGGGGAATAATTGCAAGACTTTTCATTTCTTTATCTATAGAAAAAGTAAACATTTCTTCCGCGTAGAAAGTTCAACCGTCGAACTCAAAGCTTACTCGAGTTTTACTGACCAAAATGTTCCGTCACTCATTTTAGCGAGCGTCAACCCCCAACATTGACCGGATGGCTCGGGAAGGCGTCCAGGCGCCCTACATCTACAGCACGTTCGTCACCAAGTCGTTCCCGAACCACTTCAGCATAGTCACAGGTGTGTTTGTCCTGCACCATTTCCTGGTTGTTGACCATGGTCTTACTGTATGTATGTTACAACGACTCACTTTTCCCGCCTTTTCTTGCAAAAACATACAAAGTTTAAGCGTCAAGCGACAGTGAATTCAATAGTATTGTACTACAAATGTATGACTGCACTAAAATAAGGTATGAATCTTTGAACGGGAGTGCTTTTCTCGAGTTAGAGGTGTATAAACAAGCGCTCGGGGTGTGGGAAAATACGCTGCGACGTTTCGAAACTTCTAAGTATTTAAGTAACCTATAAAATGAATCACTCAGGTTTCATTCATTCAAAGATAATAAAGTAATGGTTGACTAAATCGTTATTTATGCAGACGGCATAGTTCCAGTTAAGTGAACAAAAGAAGGAAAAAGCGTGTTTAAAGTCCGAAGTTCAAGTAGGCAGCTGCAAAAGGGGTAATTGAATAATGTAAATGTACAACACTTCACTGAAACAACACGTCACTTCCGAGAAAAAGGTGTCCACAGTTCTTCCTGTTCCCAGAAATGACGTCATTGCCTTCGGCTTAAAACAACAAGTGCCGCGCCGTACCTGTTACAAACACTGGCAGGCGATTGGTCAAGGCAAGGGCATTGTTCGCTATATAATGTCCTCGGTCAAAGTTAAACAAAGTTAAGTTAAGTGAGAGGGGGGGGCGAGGACTAGTAAATTAGCTACCCGTATGTACATGCATTAGAAAAGAATAATCTGGACAGAATGAAATACGACAACTATTTATGTTACTCCAGGCTTATACCAAGAAAGTCATGGCATTGTGGGTAACGGAATGTACGACCCGGAGCTAGACGCCCATTTTTGGAAGGTAACAGCTTTGTTTGCATTACTACATGTGTGTGTGTGTGTGTGTGCGCGCGCGCGTGCGTGCGTCGGTGTGCGTGTGTGTATGTGTGTGAGAGAGAGAGAGAGAGAGAGAGAGAGAGTGTGTGTGTATGTATGTGTGTGTGTGTGTGTGTGTGTGTGTGTGTGTGTGTGTGTGTGTGTGTGTGTGTGTGTGTGCGTGCGTGCGTGCGTGTGTGTGTGTGTACGCGTGTGTGTATGAGAGAGAGAGAGTGTGTGTATGTATGTATGTGTGTGTGTGTGTGTGTGTGTGTGTGTGTGTGTGTGTATGTGTATGTATTTGTGTGTGTGTTTGTGTGCGTGCGTGCGTGTGTGTGTGTGTGTTTCTCACGGTCACTTCACGTTTTCCCCAGGGTGTTCACACGGCTGAATGGTGGGATGTTGGAGCCGAGCCAATCTGGCAGACGGCGCGAATGCAGGGCCGCAAAACAGCCTCTTACTTCTGGCCCGGGAGCGAGGCGCCTATCAAGGGCATGCACGCCGATATCTGGTTACCTTACAACGAGAGCCACTCGGCTCAGGTGTGCTATCGTCTTTCTGTATCTGTATATAGCCGGGATGTATAACCACCCCTCGGCGTAACACACCGACTTGCTGAGTGCTACCTACTAGTATATACATGTATACTAGTAATCTGCCTATCTAGATGATTCTGTCTTTTCCATTCCATTCCGATGAATTGTTTCTGAAACAATCAGACCAAACTTGCCCCCAAATTAGTCACAAAAGCAAATCAAATGATATCAAACCAAAGCCACATCATTTCTACTTCAGCAGAACATTAAGAACTATTTTTTTAATCTCACATTGAAAAAAGAACGTTTGAACATAACGTTCAAGCAGAAATTTGATCGCTGTCTGTCCCTAGACTCGCATCGACAGGGTGATCGGGTGGTTTGTGGAGGAAGATGTCGACATCGTGACCTTATACCTGGAGGAGCCCGATGCCATAGGTCACGCGTACGGGGCGGACGGACCAGAAGTCATCCAAAAGGTGAGATACCAACATTATCCGTTGGACGCACGGGCCTTTCAAACTACTCTCATCTGTTATCCATTGTGAATATGCATGTTCATAATATGATAATATAACAACGTCCCTCGATGATAAATCTGTTGTTAGTTAGTCTATAAGTTTCAAGAGCACTGGGAGGCCCTTCACAATTACCGACACCTAGCTGGAGGTCCACACTGACCAGGCAGCTAAAATCAGGAGAACGGCTAGACTGATAAACCATAAACTTCGCAGTAGAGAAGCGGACCCGTGAAAAAATCTGCAACTAACCTGAGTCAGCTTACAGATGTGCCCTATGTGGCAGTGGCATGTCATTCTCGTATAGGACTGTCCCAATCAGCCATAGCTGAAGCTGTAACGTTACAGGGTTAATACCAATTAGGATTTTAACATGGTGAATATTAACCAACGATGTGACGTCACATATTTCTGACCCCCCAGTCTGAGGAGATGGACGGCATTCTGGGATACCTGTTCCGGAAGGTTAGCGAGGCTGGGCTGGAGGACAGTCTGAACATCCTCCTGGTGAGCGACCACGGCATGGCCACCATCAGCACCGACCGCGTCATCTCTCTCTACGACTACGTCAACAAGTAAGCCTGACTGCCTCGTGGTGTTATGTTAACCACACTGACTTGATAATATAGACGACATCCACTGGTGTATCAATTTTTGTCCGTTTCAAAGAAAAGTACATTGTTTTGCGAGTATTGTTTCCAGTAGGCACTTGAAGGATGGCAGAGGTCAAAGTAAAAGAAGAAGATGCCCAAGGAAGGGAATCAGGGTTCACCACTTGCTTGCACGACTAAGTCCACTCAAAAGTCAAAGAATATGTCAAAGAACAAATATGATTTATAGTCCGGTATACCGGATACCGCTGGACAGAACGTCTGCCAAGACGAAAAAGAAGATGATGATGATATACCAATATTGCTCTGTGTGTTCACATCAATCACTTGGTTTTATTGCACTATTTCAAATGTACATCAGCCATAAGCTCAACCTTCCTGGCCACTTAGATCTCCTAATGCAGACAGCTTTTTGCCCAACTTTGTTGCGCATGCTCGCATCAGTTTCTGAGGTGCCAAGAGGACGTTGTCCATATATCCCAATCAGTATGGTCTAATCTAACGTCAATGCAGATTATATTTTGGCGGCGCGTCAGGAGCGGAGCCTATTATGTACTAGTATTTGGAAGGCCCTTACAGTGGATAATATTTGTCACATTGAAATTCATCCTCTTTTCCAAATATAGGACTTGGATAGACAAGATCCCCGACTTCGCCCCCTTGGCAAGCATTCTGCCGGTCAGCGGCCATGAGGACGACGTGGTGAACGCCCTACAGGACGCTCACCCCAACATGACGGTGTACAGGAAGGAGGACCTCCCCGCGCGCCTGCACTACTCCAACCACAGGCGCATCATGCCGCTACTGGCCGTCACGGACGAGGGGTGGCTTATCGTCCCTGTAAGTGCGATTTACTGCAACGTACGTATAAGCCCTGCATGGCTCAGAAGTGCTTGAATCAGACAGGAATGGAGTCGGTCAATGAGGTGTTCCTCCACAGGAGTGAGAACACCTTGGATTCTGTATCTGTCTGTATCTGTATCTGTATAGCCGGTATAACCGCCTTTCGGCGTAACACACCAGCTTCGCAGGCACGTGGCGCGGCGGCAGCTGGCTATATTACACCGATCGACTTGTTACACCTAACCCTTGAACATTTGGGGATTGAGTGAGAGATGAGCGTAACAAAATCACATATCAATAATTGCGTCAATCGTGCGGCAGTTGACTGTCCTCATAGCCATATAATAATCTGAAATAAATATTTTCATATCTTTTACGGGACTGGGAAAATGGAAGATACCAAGAAACACAGGAACGATCGATGAAATAAGTGGAAGATTGAAAAAAGACAAATATTCAACACGAGCCCCCTATATAATCTGTATCCATATCTGTTGATCTGAATAAATGTTGCCATATCAAACTTTGCATTATATTATAAAAAAAAACAACATTGTTTTGCTTTGTTGCAGAATAAGAGCGAGCTCACCCCGGACCAGCTGGCCTTCAAGGGCATGCACGGCTGGGACCCGGAGATGCCGTCCATGCGCACCGTCTTCCTGGCCCGAGGCCCGAGTTTCCGCCGTGGTCACCGCGTGGCCCCCTTTCACAACATCGACATCTACAACCTGCTGTGCCACCTGGTCGACGTCACCCCCGCACCGAACAACGGGTCCTGGGAACGAGTTCGGGATCTCCTGGTGGAGGCCCAGACGGAGCCATCCGATCCTGGCGCGTCTGTTGCCATGGTGATGACTCCAAACTGCCCTCTCCTCTTTGGCATCTTTGTCCTTTTGGCTTCCATTAAGATGAACCTTGCGTAAGTTAAGGTTTTTTAAGATGAATGTGCTGTAGTAATATTATGTAGAAACAATGGGATATACGTGAAATAGTCTCTCTACATATTTATTTGCTCAATTTCTATCTGAAAAGCATCAGATCAGCACAGAACTTCATATAAGCTCTCTCAGTGAAAATGTATAAATCAAGGCTTGCGGTGAAGATGCCTCGGCTTGTTTGTAACATAAAGTACTAGTGTAGTTTTACTAGGGTACCTTTTAATATCAAATATAGATTTTGTTTGCCATGAGAAATGAATAGCAATATCACCTTATAAAATGTTAATTTCCTTAGGAGGCAAGCCAGGAAGTTACATCGCGAGATCGATTCAATTCAAGCTTTGGCATCGGTTTTGAGGTTGAAACCGGTGCGGCAATTTATGACTATTTGTAGCAAGTACAAGCTTTCATAGATGAAGAATGATTTTTTTTTTGTATCTGCGACATATATAGCTACTGTGTGTCGTATAGCATATCGATGGGACCTTTGTGTGTATCAATATCTATGATCATGAAACGGCATATTGCACTTAGCACATAGCGAATAGTTCCGTATTTTGCTTCGTTACATATTAATAAATGCTTGTGCTTGAAATAAAAAGAGTGTATTCATATTTCTCATGTCCTAAGTTGAATCATTAGTACAACTTCATGATCATTCAGCTTTATTTTATTTTCTTAGCTTACGTACGCGTCAAATATCAAATTCCCATAATTCAACACCAATACTCAGGAGCCGAGGCCCAACCCAGAGACTGGTGGTCTAACAATTGTCCACTACAACATTGAAGGACAACCATAATAACACTACCTATTCATCATCTCTTCTACTAGTCTACTTGGCGAAGAAAAAATCCAGAATTTCGTCTTCAAACGTGATAAAACTGACAAGAGTAGCTTTGCTGTTGTTCCCAAGACGAGTTGGGGCTGTAGAAGACCGACGGACATCTTCCTACATGAATGGGATGTCCTGATTTACGTAGACGTGACCTTTCACCTTTTTACAAAGATGGCGGGCTCACTGCGAAAAGCGTGAAAATCGCACAATTTTGGCTTGTTTTTCTCAAACGTTCGGCCAGTTTTGCCACTCCATTTGCTGCAAAAGTAGAATTTTTGCATGCTGAGTGTACCGTAGTCTTGATTTTTTGGTACCTCTTCAAGCGGGACACGAGAAAACGTCGTTTGCGCAAAGGTCGGTCAAAATCCTATGTTGCTGGCCTCGGTCGTAGGGGAAAACATCCTACCCAAAGCCGCGCGTAGGTGGACCAGAATCACCCAACCTGCCGGACTCCATGCCTCTGTGAGAAGCTTGACGCCATGTCCCCGTGACAAGAGATACAGTAGGTAACTAGGTGACGCCATGAGAGTTTAATTCAGCTTGGGATGCCCGTGTTTTCGTATGACGCAATGCGTGCGCAAGCCTGAACGTTTTGTCCTTGAAGCATAACAAAGTTGTCTAACCAACTATTAAACCAACCCCTCAGGCGGGTGTAACTAGCGGGATTGTTAACAAAACACAAGGCCAGCGGTGCTAAAGGTCAGGTTTGTGGCTTTTGTTGCTACTGGTAGTATATATTTCGGTGTTTACAACGAAAAGATTGTGTAAATTATGCTTGAACTATTTGATAACGTTAGTTGATGTCTTAGAAATTGTATCAATCAGGCCAGAAAGACTTTTGAACAGTTTTTTTCATGAGATAACCTCCTTGCATTTATGTTGTGATATAGACAGTGTGAATGATTTGTATTTTGTAAGTAAAGGGAGCACGGCAGAAGTCAATGTCAAACACATATAAATGACAGTGGTATCAATCATAAATGTTACTTGCAATTGTGTAAGAACAGGTTAGAAATTGGCTAAGTTCCAGAAAAACGTACATTTTGTACTGTAATAATGTAACTGTTGTAACGTTATATGCTGATTTCTTATCAAAACCTCCTTGGTTGATGTTGAGCAGAGACTACAGAAAATAAAACACCCATCACTTATCATCTCTTCAATCTGATTGTTTTACAATAATAGAAACATGGAGACCCAGGATGCTTTGAATGCTGTCTATGCCAAGTGGGAGAAGAAAGGTCAGGGGTCAAGGCAATGTCAGAAGTCAGAACCAAGGTCACAGACTGAAGATGAAGAAAAGAACAGGTAGCCTAAATGTGATGTTCATCATTTTCTTCTGAAAGCATAAACAGTATTCTTTTCCATTTCTATGGCATTGTGATTGTAAATAACTTGTGTATCATATCTTGAAGCTTTTTGGAATGACGAGTACAGATCAAATTTCCTCAGGGGAATAGAAAAAGACAAGATTTTTTATTGCCAGTTTGGACTAAATTGTTCTTACCAATTTGTCTATATGGTACACATCAATTATAAATCTGTTGTGGTGCTTCATACATAAATTGAATGCAAGGTTTAATAAAATGCTTGATTTCCACAGAGCCCCCAGCCTGGTTACTGAGCCCAGTCTACCAGTGAGACCAGTGCTGAAGGATGGGTACGCTGACAATGTCAGGCCCAGAACACGGGCCCCGAGGAGACTGCAGAGCCGGGCTAGAAGAGACAAACTAGTAAGTCATTTTTGAATTGTATTTTTTTTCTTTCAGAATCTAAAATTGTATCATAAATTAAAATGAAAGAAGTTGAAAATGTAAAGATACTGCAATGAATGTTCGTGCAGTATTTTTTTACAGTTTAATTTCTAAGCAGGTTCTTAATTTGTGTAGAAAAACACACTTTTCACTTCCCATTCATTCTCCAGTCATTCATGAAATCATTTTTCTTCTTGCAATTTTGTACGACATTCCTTCATTCAGCCATCATCAGGTCCGAAGCTGCACTTCTTCAAGGTGGAGCCCATGATGATGGACAGCACCAGTCTGAGCAGCAGACCTTTCACTGGGCGGGCCTGCAGCAAGTGTGTGCCAGTCAGCAGGGTCAGTAGTGTAGTATGCCCAATTGGATGCATGTTTTAGGGGTATTGATCATGAGAGGGTTATGCAATACTTCAATGAATTTTGTACTTGTTTTCTGCAAAAAAATGTTTTATTTATGTACATAGAAATATCTGTATATTGTCCATGTTGCTTTTGATATGGACCCCTGGACTGATGCAAAAAATAAGAAAAAGATAAATGAATAGAATATGATAATAACAATTTTTCCATCTCTATTAACAGAACACATTCTTTAATGAGAACACAGCAACAATGGGTGTAAGGAACATGCTGGACATACTGGCTGAACACAGGTTGGTGAACCACTACTAGTCTTCTTGTGTGTAGACTTTGTTACAGAAATCATTGTCTCATATATGGAAAAAAGATGGTTTTAGAAAAATACCTGATTGCCCAACCCTCACTGTTGTCTTTCAACAAAGCCCTTGCAGCTAACCTAGGCTAGTTTCCTCTCTATTCTCTCCTCTTAATTAAAAAAAAAACTGTTCTATGGTCTGTTGTGTATAGCAGTGTTGTACATTCTGTAAATGAATTAACTTTGCAGTTGGAGGAAAAAGGAGGTTTCCACAGTGTTTGCAAATCACGGTTGAAACAATTTGTAGCACAGCAGAAATATAAAACACATGTTTGCAGTGTGGTGATCTCCAGTTAACCTGACACTGTGAAACCTGCAAAAGTACCCGGTAAAACTTAATGCATTTATGGTACAATGTATATTGACAGTGGTTGTAACTGTATTGTGGCTGTCATCCTCAACCCACTTGGCCACTAGCACAAACTAAAGCTGATTTGCTCTTTACCCTGCATCCATTCAGGACTGATGAGGAAGAGGAAGAGTGAGTTTGTGTCTCATGTAACATTTCTTTACAGTCCAAACCAGTTCAACCTGAAATAACGCCTTCTGTTTGAATCTGTCATTATTTGTTGATGTTGTACAGTGTTCAGTGTAAAGGTTTACACCTGTTTTTTACATGATAGGATTCTGTTCCAAGTTTCTTTCTTTGTTAAGGATTGCTCATGACAATGTTTTACCTTTGCAGTTGGTGTCTTGAAAATAACAAGGAAAATGATTATGCTTGCTTTGCTTTTTTAAGGAAGGCACTTGTTTGCACATGATCTTGATAGGTTTTGCTAATGTTGCTTTATGAGTTAATGTGCATGTTCACAACTTTTCATTGTGTTTTTCAAAGAATCCATAGCAATACCTGTCAACCACAGGTGTCCATGTAACCACAGTGTCAAATTCAATTAATGCAACAAAAATCTCTACTGTAATTTGCATAGGAGTTGTACATGTGTCTTCATGGTTTCACTGTTGACAAGAGTAAATTGTGTACCAAGAATTGCACTGTAACAGTCATGAAACTGGTTCTATACCACTCTGTACAGAACTTGTATAGAACATTCATGAATTTTTACTTCCTCAGACTTGTATGCATTAAGACATTAACATTGAATACTTCTGACTCTTGTTTGTACCACAGACCCCCAGGTATGCTGGGTCGCCTGTTCTACACAGCTTGGTTCTCAGTGACCAGACGAGTCGACCACTACTACCCCAGTAATAAGGTCATGCACGACGCAGTCCTGTGCGGCACAAGGTTAGGGTCAAACAATTTTTTTTACTTATTTCATTATAAAACGACTGGGTTGCTCATTCAGCAAGTAGAAGCTAGAAATGGGGTAAACTTGAAGGTCATGAAATCCCAAAATGTCATAGATTTTAGGCTTTTATTGTCATTTATTTGTAAAAGTAGATTAATACAGTCATGTACAATATAAATGATTATTGATATCAATTCCAGAGTGAGAGAAGCCATGCGCAAGACTGTTATACGAGACTATGAAGGTAGGCTAGAACTTTATTTATTCATAATTGGACACGGTTTTCTAAAGTATGAAATAGTTACAGTGTGTAATCCTGACTAAATTTTACTGTAGTTACTCCTATTACTAGGCAATTTGCAACTAGTTCAACATTAGCCTGTGAAACCCAAGCTCCGGGGGGCTCCCTACATAGTCCGCAGACTACTAGGGAGCCAGCGAAAAGCGAGGTTCAGTCAGGCTAGTACAACATGTACTGGCTATTTAAGATGGTATTTTGTGTCACACAGACATGCACAATGTTTATTTGTTTGTACCATACAGATTATGAGGACAACTCAGCACAGTTTCAACTGGAGTTGCAGCAGCAGGAGAAACTGGCCTCGGCCATCTTCAACAAAATGGCCTCCAACATCTGGACACCCTTTATCACGTATGTCAAAATCAAGCCTATTTGGCTGTGAAGCAAAATGAAGGTCAGCAACTTGTAACCTTTGAATCTTGGCAAGAACTAGCTGTTAACAGAGGAAGTAAGAGGAGGGTAAAAATTCTATGTACACAGGAAGATGCTCAACTTTGACTGTGACTGACTTGAGTTCAAAGCTGAAAGCGGGCCTAATAAATATCTGAGAAGAGCTTGACTGGTGCTAGAAACCAAATGTTCTTCTTCCAACCTTTGAAAAATCCTAGGAAAACTACTGTATTTCTTGTTGGATGTTCCATTGTAAATGTCTTGCATTGGCAGGTTCACTGGCTGGTTCCTACACAAGGCCCTGGGGCACCTACTGTCATCCATTCAGGTGCATCGTGGGCAGATCGACATGGTCAAACAGGCAGCAGAGGTACATTCTAATCAGATGTTTACATGTACATGTATGTAAGGAGGGCGGGCATGAAGGGGTAAAGAGATTGCACAGTAGCTATTGGTGTATAATGAACACATAAGAATTTGCGAGATGACATGTCAAGATGAATACGGAAAGCTTTGGCATATATAGAGAACATAGATATCAGTCTATAGTGGTTATTGTACTACCAGTAGGTGATTCTAGTAAAAAGATACAGATGCAGGAATGACAATCATCGACACCACAACTATTTCATCATGTTGTTCCTTCTCCCAGACGGGGGTGCCCCTGGTGTTCCTGCCCACACATCGGTCCCACCTGGACTACATCCTCCTCACCTTCCTCCTGTGGAACCACGAGATTCAGGCACCCCATGTGGCTGCAGGGGACAACCTCAGGATTCCATTCTTCTCGTGAGTCATGACCCATGCATATATGACAACACTATCCAGTCTTATATAAAATGTAAATGTACCTGTCTGGACTTGCGGCCGTCGGGCGATCCGACCCGCGGTCGGGCCGAGGTACCGGGACCGAGGGCGATGCGGAATACCCTTGTTGTCCGGAACCCGTTATCGAACGTTATCGCGGCCCGGGTATGATATAAAGTAATATATAAAATGTAAATGTACCTGTCTGGACTTGAAGCAGTATTACAAAAGAAGGTTTACTACCTGCAACCACAAGAGAACAAAGCTTGAGATTTGCTGAAGCTATAGAAAAAGATACACTGTAGCTGTTGAACTCTCAAACTTTGAATGATAAGACATAGAAATCACTGTACACTTGATATGTATTCCAAAAATATGAAGAACATGGTCCTAAGGTCCTTTGACATCAAAGTGCAGTACAAGGCTTTTTGAAATTTGTCAGACAGAATGCAAGCTTTATTCAGAAAAGTCTGATGAAGTGATACATCCTTTACATCTTTATTTAAGAATTAAGTGAGTAAGTAAGTTAAGAGTGCTACAGAATATAATCCTGTCTGGCTGATGGAAAGTTAACATCCTGTCACCTCTCTGTTTATCCAGCTCACTGATGTGTCACCTGGGGGGCTTTTTCATCAGAAGGAAACTGGATGACGTCTATGGAAAGAAAGACTATGTCTATAGAGCTGTATTACACACGGTAAGGTCAACTTTGTTCATGGCAGTGGCATCAATGTATGCCAGGACTAGTCATTTCAGTGTAACTGGTCAATTTGCCTTGCATGTACATTTATCAATTGGACTGACAAATTAATAATATGTACTTTAGGTAAAATTGGACGTTTACTACATGGCCTAAGATGTGATAGTTTTGACTTGGTTGCTTTCTTCACACAGTATATGGAGGAGCTGCTGAGACAAGGACAGTCCTTGGAGTTCTTCATAGGTGGGAAACTTTAAATACCATGATTACCTAGTATATATTAAGAGCAATGGTATCAAGGCTTCTAAAATTTTTCGCTAGGCCTTTCCATAGGCACATCAGTAGTGGCACATTGCAAACCATTAATTCTTTCCTTTTACTTTTTTTTTCTTCCATTTGTTCTTTTATGATATGAATCAGAAGTATTTGCATTGAGCATCAGAAGAATGTTGTAAAATGATTTGTCCTGAAGTAGGAAGTGTGCAGAAATTTAAGGTGTATTTTTCATAAAATTTGTGAAATGTTTTTTTTTCCAGAGGGAGGGAGAACAAGAACAGGAAAAGCTGTGGTTCCCAAGGGAGGTCTGCTGTCTGTTGTGGTTGATGCTTACATGGCAGGTGAGATGTCTTAACAGAAGTTCTTGTGACTTTCTCCTGACCGGTACCATGGTTTTAAGTTAGTCACGAGCAAAGTCATTGGTAGTTGGGAGTTTAAACCTCATCTGCACCAAGGAACTCTAAATTTTGAGTTAGGGAAGTCATATTTAGGTTGAGGAGATCAGAAGAGTGCACTGCAGGGATTTCCAGGCTACTCCCAACCCAGCGCCGACCTTGGTAGGGTGTGGTCGGGAGCAAAGTCCTGGGAATGTGTATCTGGCTTTATGTGGCTACTTGTTGCTGTATGGTATGAGCTGTGAACTATCTCATTTTTTTGCTTTAGTTTCATTCAAGTGTTTATCATTTTCCTCCACTGTTCACTCAGGAGCCATCTCAGATGTCTATCTGGTTCCTGTCAGTTTCAGCTATGAGAAAACTCTGGAGGGCAACTTCAGGTCTGAGGAGATGGTGGGTCCTGGTTAATAAGTCATTTTATTAACTAGTCTAGCTGCTTGGCAGCATTAGATCTGCCAGCAATGTCTTCAACATTTTTCTATTTAACATGTATTTTTAGAGTCTTGCTTGTATTCGGGTAGTTTATGATAGAACTTAAAAACTTTTAACATTTTTTATCAACTTGTTTGTTAACCTGTTGTCAGACTAATTCACACTAATGTGGTAATGATTGAGGTACAATGGAATGAGGTCAGTAATGTTGTACTTTCTGTGTGTTTAGGGAATTCCCAAGAAGAAGGAGACCTTCCTACAAGCAGTGAAGGGGGTGTGGTCAGCCTTCAGGTCCAGTTTTGGTCAAGTCCGGGCAGACTTCGCTCAGCCCATATCACTACAGGTCAGTTGCTTCTATATAGGAGACGAGTCATTGTTTTTATGAATAGTATTTTTAGTGATCTTTGCATTGTTGTCTTTATTTGCATTAAGGATGTTGGTTGGATATGTTTATATTCAGAATCGATTGTAAATTGAGTAAACCAGTCATCTAGTCTGCAAATAGATTGGTGTTTTTTTTAGCATGTCGAAATAAAAGACTTGGTGCATATTCTAAAGTTAAATTACTTTCCTGTTATGATATTGTGGCCTGTAGTAGATGAACACTTTGATGATTAATTAAATTTAATTAAGCCATGTTTTAAATTACAATTTTTCAATATCTAGATTTAAAGCTTAACATACATGTAGTTCACAAATCTACAAATGATATACAGAAACTTTAAAAATCTAATTGTGGTTCAATTTGCTCATGTGGAATTCTTTGTTAACCGTGCTCACTTGAGAATTGAACCCTTAACCTCTGGTATCTGTATTTTTCAGGAGTATCTTGACTCAGCCGAGTCTCCTGGTGGAGCAGTGTTCTCTCGTCTAGCAGGTAGCCACAGTCCGTCAGAAATGCGGCGTATCCGCAGTGACCACTCCATATATGGGACTGACATAGTGAAGGAGGAGCAGAGACTACTGGTCAAGGGACTAGCAGAGCACGTTCTGTACAGTAAGTCTACCCTCCTAGCTCAGTCTGTATCAGTGTTCTAGCCAGTGTCTGTTGCTGCTTATGACGGACAAAAATTTTGCCCAATCCGTCATCTTTGACCAAGGAGTACATGACTATAATGCTAAACTTTATCCCAACACAAAGGGTACACAAGGATCACATTTTTGTATCCTTTGTGTTGGAATATTGTATAACAATGTCGTAAAATGATTACTACCAACGCAGATGAACTTCCATGGTAAATTGATACCTTAAAGTTAATGTTGTCATTCCTGAACCTCCCTTCCACAGATGCAGTCCAGACCACAGCAATAATGAGCACCCAGCTGGTGGCCTTCATGTTCCTGGCCGTGCACAGACAGGTGGGGACCACTAGTCACTTGTATGGGCAGGCTGTGGAGGAATTCAGGAAGTGGTTGAATACCTTATATCATACAATCCCCTCCACATGTCCTATACATTCACAAAAATACTTTCAGGAGGTTTAGTGAACTTTAAGATCATGAAAACCAAAACACTAACCGGATCTCTGATTTCTTGTTGGGGGGGCGGGGTCTGGGGGTTTGATTGGGCCATTGCAATTTGATAAGTTGTTTCTCAGATATTTTTTGAAGGAAATTGGTAACTGCCTTTAGACTCTATTTCAGTATAGATATGTAATTAATTATTATGTTGGAAATGTAATGTACGTTTCAGGGAGCAACTTGGGCGGAACTCGAGAAATCGTTTGAGCACATCCGAGGTGAGATTCTCCTCCGCGGTCGCGATGTGGGGTTCACGGGTAACGCGTCGGCTGTCCTCAGACATGCCATGGAGTTGCTAGGCAACCAGCTCTTCACCTGGGAGACACCCGGCAACGGCAGGAAGAACCAGAACAACAACCACGTGAAGGTGGAGGAAGAGGAGAGGATACTGGTGCCGAATCTGGGGCTACCTTCAGTCTTTGATCTGACATATTATGGATCCAATGTCATGTCTGTCTTCCTCATGGAGTCTGTTTTAGGTAAGGCTGGGTTGATTTCAGTAATTATGGATCATCATTGATAAACTCTTCATGATAGTGACGTAGTCTTCTACATTGTATGTACATAGGAACAGCCTTCTCAAAACAAGCCGGCAACAGGCGAAAATCCCCACCTACTCAAATTTTTTTGCCGCCTACTTTCGTGTAAATTTAAGAAAAAAAATTGTAGTCTCCATATTACAAAACCCTTCCTGCTACTTTTTCATTTAAGCCACCTACTCTAAATTTTAGTGAGAAGGCTGAGGAGGTTTGAATACCTTAAGACCTATAGCATGATTTGTTTCCAATTGTTTAATCTGTATCTCTCCCCAGCCACTGCCATCAGTGCAGTAACCGAGGGCCAGGCTAACACAGTCCACCTACAGGAGGGGCAGCACATGTTAGTGTCCAGACAGGCTCTCCTGCAGAGGGCTAAGGAACTCAGCCAGCTGCTACAGATGGAGTTCATCTTTGCACCAGTAGGTGGCACTCTCATGAAGCTGTGCATGTACTGTAACAGTACTGTACATGTAGATGATGATTTTTTCTGGTGGCAGTCAATGTCATTGCTAATGTCATCTATATGAAATGTATTGGATTGGAAAATGTATAGGTTCTATTGCTGAAGCTGAAGTATTGTTGCTGAAGCTAAATCATAAATGTATTGTTACCAACTTTGAGCCAGTTGTCTGGTCTAATAACAGCAATATGACTCTTCATGCTTCCAGCTGGTGAAAAAGTCTTTCACATATTCTAGTCAAGTTTGATACTGAAACAAAATTGTACACTTATTTCAGACAGTCAGAAGAGGTTTGTGGCTCAGGGCTGGTCACATTTGCTGCACGATCGTCATATGAATGCAAACTGAGGACATTGTTGGGATAATTGTACAACAGCCTAAGACGAATGTGACCGCACTGTAAGTTGTTAAAAGATCAAATGTCAATGCTGTTTTCCTCCATCCAGAGCTGCAGTAGTCTGGAGGACGTGGTCAGAGACGGGCTGGACTCCCTGCTTCACTCGGACCTGCTGCTGACCGATGAACAGGACAGCGCGTCCAGCCAGAGAGAGAAGCAGTGGGCTGACCAGCTGGCCTTCGCCACTTCCTGGGAGGACCAGGCTGAAGACAACGTAGAGGGGTCACCCGTGGTGCAGGACCTGTCATATAGGGTAGGGGGCATTTTGTACACGTCAGGAAGAGTTGAACTAGCAAGTTCATACAGGCAAACACCCTACGGGAGTAGTACCACCCATTTCCTGGTGTGTTGTATGATACCATGATCTCCCAGACTAATAACTGGAGGATCTAATGAATAATTTCTCACACAACTAAAGTTCTGGGCAACTATTTTTCCTGACTTCACGTCATGATATTCTTTCTTGGGAAGGCTAGTCCCCATTTGTTTGTTCTGGACTAATATTCACTGTTTAAACTGGCCTTTAAAAAGTCAAGCAGTCAAAAACTAACACATCTGTAAGTTACAGTTTAGCAACTACAATGTACGTAATGTTGTGCACCTGTTGACTAACCTCAAGACACCTGTTCCCCTGCACAGCTGAACACGGCAGCTGCACACATCCAGAAGCTGGGTTTCCTGCAGAGCATCCTGGCAGGCATGGTGGAGGCTTACTGGGTGTCAGCGTCCCACCTGGAGGTGCTACAAGGCGGGGACATGACGGAGGAGAAGTACCTGCAGTCACTACAGAAGTTTGCCATCAGGAGAGTAGAAGACGGGGTCGCAATACGCAGTAAGTGTTGTATCTTAACATTACACATACATTGATCTCCTGTCAATCTGCCTGTCAATCTTCCTGTACCCATGTGCTGTCATCCTACTCTGTCCAGACAGACACTGATACACAAACCTACAGTTTAGCCACCAAAAAAGAGTATTTCTAAACCCGTGAGTAAAAAAAGCTCCACTAAAATGATTTTTCAATTCTTTCAACAACAAAAGATACATGAAGTAGCAATCCCTCATTTCAAAAACATTCTTGTAACAGGAAAAATTGTGTACTATAAGAGACACAATACATCTACTCGTACAGTCTAGATAGTACTACTACTATTACTACTATAAGATGTACAGTAGTGTTTTCATGCCAGCTGTTCCCCTGCCCAGGTGAAAGCTGTTCATCTGAAACCCTGAAGAACTCCCTGAAGATGCTGAGTCACCGCAAGGTCATCTCCCACTTCTTCGACGGCGACGGCACGAGGAAGATAGAACTGTACGGCGGCTACCGTGACAACCAAGAACTGAGCAGCTTCATCGATAACGTGGGGATGTTCAAGACCTGGTAGTTAGGGTGTTTACTGTCCCTCCATACGAGTGGTAAAGACTTGGAAGGAAACACTGCAGTTTAAGCAATTATCTTGCCATGTGTCCCTTCAGTAGTAATGATGGAAAAAGTCAAGTACAGTAGAAGAAATAGCCCTTTTTTTGGTTTTAGGTTGTAGTTGTTGTTACTTTCATCAGGTGCTTTGGTTTCTTTCAACTGATTTCATATTGGTCCCTGCAAAGGATAAACTGAGTGTCATGTCTTTTGGGCATACAGTAGGCTTTTACTGTGTTAGATTGTGTCCTTTGTAGTGCTGTTTTGTGCAATATTTGAACAGTGACTATGGATAGCAGTAAGCATTTTGTTGTTGTAAATGTGTTGGACCAGGAGTATTAGTATGATTTCTTTAAAGTTTGTTTTTGTTACCTCAGTTCAAGATGCAGAATTGCTTTTCCCCAGCTAGGCCATGTTGATTTGATTATATGGATGACATCGGCGCGCGCATGAATTTTCGGCCGTTTCCAAAAAAAAAAAGTTTTCAACCATACTGTAAATCGTGCAAAACAGTTGCTAAATGAGCAAAAATATACCATAAGTTGCAAGGAAAACATTTAGAAACGATACCAATGTCGTAGAATTCCAAAATCAAAGGAAAAAAGACAAAAATGTAAAGAAATGAATTCGAAGAGTAGATTATTCGCCATAATATATTCTGTGCCATTTGTTCAACCTTCATGACCACGTAGATTTCATAGTGAAAGCAACTTTTTTTTTTTGCAAAACTTTCTTTTTATTCGCACGCGTGCATCAGTTTTGGGGTTCCCAGAGGATGTCATCCATATAATCAAATCAACATGGCCCTATTAGAGAAAGCAAGGCTTGTAATGGTGCTACAATGGTGCAGAGATGTTATGATGTTTAAAGTTTATGTTGCCACTTCCCTTATGACTCCCCTCTTACCCAGATACAATCCTGGTACACTTATCTGGCTATGCTACTGTAAAGTTACATGTAGATCATACGGCTCAAGCTTCTGTAACTGTAAGCATCTGAATATCTTAGTTAAGCCTTCTATACAACCAACAGACGTACATTTTTGTAGAGTGTAGTAGAGAGGATATAGCTGAACAAAAGCATGATCAGAATGCAATGTACAGAAGTTCTAAATGGTCAGTATTTGTATATGCAATATGGGAGACAATATATATGTGATGGTGCAATCACGGGTACTCTATCTGTTATGATAAAGAGATATTTTATCATTTATTGCTACTACATAGTGTATAGCAAGTCTCGACACCTATTCAAGCTCACAAGCCATAAAGTTACATGTTACTTGAATACTTATAAAATAAGATACAGGTCCAAAATATTGGAATTATATCAGTTATTGGATAAACTTACACTTTTGAGACAGAAAAAGGGAAGTCCTACCATAGATAATGAAAACATTTCAAAGACAATAATACTTTTAGCCAGTCCACACTAGTACTTGTATCACAATCTCTGTAATGTTATCTGTACCTTAATGTGTGCATGTACACAGCCACAACACACAGTAGTTGCTTGTATGTAAAATAGTGCCTCTCAAATAAGAAAGAATGTAGACATACATGTAGATCTGATGTAGGATTGTAGTTCTACATGATTGTGTAGATGGATAAAGTATTTAGTGAACAGGATAGAAATTAGAGCCATGACTTTTTTATTTGTGAAATTTTTGGGTCGTTATTCAAGGAGCCACAAGATAACTGAAGGTTATATGCCACATTATTATCAAAGATGGACTAAGTTCTGTGTTATGGATCTTACAGGATCCAGATCTATATGATATATAAATAGGCAAAGCAAGTTGTCCTTGAAACATTATGCTTGATGTAAAGGGTGTTGCTTTTATGTATAACTCTAATGGACTATAGAAAGGCAAATAAAGCAACTTGTCTGGTCTCACTTTTTGCCTTGCACTTGGAGTGGGATCACCATAACTACAGTCCAGAAGCAACAAGTTGTTGCTTCATGAACCTGTGTCACCCAAGTCTTAAGGCATACATATATGTCAACTGTCATCTCCTTTTCTTTAATCACACAATTGTCAGTAGGTAGCTACTTCTGAAAACCTTAATGTTACAAAAAATCATTCACAACACCATGGGTGATCAAGCTACTAGTAACACACACTACTCAGCCATCCACTCAAAAACATGGACACCACAGAGTTAACAAAACTGGACTACAGGCTGTAAAATGCCAGCATTATTTTACTGTCTTCAAGTGGTCAATGGATAGACTTGCAGATGCAAAAGAACAATGCAACAAAGTTAAATACATGTAACTGTAATGCGGTATGAATAGAGCAAATGTAATGCTTGCCAGAAACTAAGACTCCAAAATGTATAAAAAGAATATTCTATGGCTCGATGAATGTCTTAAACTCAGTTTGAACGGTCTTGCTGTACTGACAATATTTCCCTTAGTTCTTCACAGAATATAGTTCAGGTGCAGTACAGGTAATTGCACTTTTTTTTGTAATGGCATAATACTTTTTGGTAAGACAGAAGTTACCTTTTCTGCTGTAGTTTTTTTAAACTAACAAATGTTTTGAAAGAAAACAAACTTGAACTGCAATAAGTCAAGCAGTTACTAGTACTTTTCTTTGCTATCTCCCCATCTTGAACTTTCTACATCATACATAGGCTTGACTAAACGCATATATAAGCTGAAACACAAAAAAATAATAATCTTTTACAACAAAATAACAGTCTATCTACTGCATGGCTTCGTACAGCACCAGTAACCAGTGTGTCATACTTGCCATCTTTTACAATGACTGATCTAGTATCACTTTTTCTTGCTTCGTTTTCAAAATATAAACTCTTTGATATAGTATATCTCTGTTTCTACAACCTCTGAGTAAAGCACAGGATAATTCCTCTGTGTTATCTTCTGGAAGACCTACATGTGAACATCACATGCTGTACTCTACTTCCACATAGTTGCTTTTGAGTCATCTTTATACCGGGCAGTCAAATGTTACAGTGTAAAGAAATAACCTATAAACTTATTTGAAAGCATTTCAGGATCTTGGAACAAAAACAATCTCATGAAGTAGAATAATCTTGAGAACTGTTTTCCATACCTTTGCAACGTTTTCAACAAAAATGCAACATGAATAAAGAGCACCTGAGATAATCATTAATAATAGAATGAAGATGCCACAAAAGAAAAAGATCCCTCATGCTTTAAGTTTAAGTATCGGTATGGTATGTCAAAAGAATAGTCCAAGGTCTGCAACAAAAGTCTACCCCTTTTCCTTGACTTTCTCCCTGTTGACTTACGCTGTGATGAAAGTGATGCCACCTCGGTGAGGTAAGGTTAAGAACATGTGGAATATAACTTTTGATATGCATTCGTATAATCCTTCATGTATCTAGAACATTGTATTAGAGTACCGGTACTGTCATATTTATGAAACTATGTAACACTACTCTCCTGAGTACACTTTCCAGTAGCACCCATATGATCTTCACACTTTCTGAAATCAAAGGAGCAGCTTGGTCCTGTGGTGTCATTGCACAGTAGTTCACACATAGTGGCACGTCTGATAAACCCTGAGAATGTGGAGGTCCCACTATGATATGCAGACAGCGTAACCTCTGTTGTAGCCACTGTGTTTACCTCTCTCGTACATCATGGCACTGGAGACGCTGTCCTTGGTCTCTTTGGTTGTCTTTGTGGCTTTGACATCCATTTCATGGACCCTATGTGGTAAAATGTTACGTGTTATGTGAAGTAAGTATTTGGTAAAATGTTACATGTGAAGTAAGTATTTGCACTCCTAGCAATCCAATGTGGTACATGTAATGGTTTATTGCTTATCAAGCATGTTGCAAGTTATAAATTGATTACCAATAGTCATACAAGTTTTTCACACGAGAAAAATGCACCAGTAAGTAACATTTACTGTACCAAAGAAAATTATTCAAAATAAAGAATTGGGCTCTTTGTACTTGGTAGTATTTGTACTTGACTTTCTTCTCAAACAATTTTTAAATTCAGTGGAGAAGCAGTTAAGGTCTTTCTTACATGGACATCACGAAGAAAAATAAACCATATAAGTCATCTTATCAAGTTTTCACACAACAGCCAAGAGCATTAGTGCATAACACACAACAAAACGCTAGCGCAGTGAGGCGGTCGTACTTGAGCATGGTCTCGATGCACGGCGCGATGTGGTCCCAGCGGTACCCGGTGATCCCATGGAGACGGCTGGTCCACGTCGGAGACAGGTGCAGGCAGATCCTGGAGGCCGCCACGCACGCCGCCGCGATCACAGACGGACGGAACACCAGGAAACAATGGTCTACGGAAATAATACAAACTGTCATGATCAGGCCAAGAGCTTTTGAACTCTATAACAGTATAAGGTAAGCCATTCAACTTCACTTCAGCCCAACAGGTCGACCTGGATGTCCATCACAATTAACAGTTAAAAAAATAATAGCACAGCAGTTCGACCAAAGGAAGTACAGCTGCATGTTTGTCAAATACTTTGTATTTTGCTTTTCTATGTCTTGATGGAGGTGGGTGCCTACCTAGCCTACCCCCTTCTAGATATAGACTTGTTTTTCAATCTTTCATTTCATTATGTATTTATTTATTCATTGTTTATTTCAGGCTTGACGGCCCATAGCCTACAGAAATAACATACATACATGTACATACATCATATGACACAGACACATCTAAAAAAAAACAACAACAACCAGGGTTCTCCCCAGAAATTTTTAGGGGAGAGGTGCTCCATAATCGGTTGATGTTGCGGGAAAAAAAATCAGCAACTTTCCATGAAAATACTGAGAGAAAACCCTAAATGTGAACATTTTGGGAGAGGTGCTAGGATTTTGAGGAGAGGGGGAGCACCCTTGTTTCATTGTTTGGGGAGAGCCCTGACAACAAAACATGCAGGTATGTACAGATGTCCTGCTGCAAGGATGCCCCTTATGCTGGTGGGCGGGTCAATATACAGTGATGTAATTATGTATGTATGATTTTCAACAACTACGCTCTCACCTTGTAAGGACACCTCCAAGAAGTAGTGACAGTACTTCTCCAGGTACAGCCTGCTCTTGTTGACGGAGCACACAGGGTACCCTGCATGTAGGTCGGACTGTGACACCCCCTCTGTCATGTAGTAGTCCAGGAAGTGTGCTGGGGTGGGCAGCGAGATGTTCCACTGGAAGAACTTCAGGATGGTCAGCTCCATCTGCAGGTACTCCTCCTCAGAGTAGACTTCCCGGACGTACTGGTTCAGCTTCTTGATCCGAGGTACTCTTCTCTCCTCCTCTTCAAACTTACCTGTACAGTTATTTATTCATTCATTTTATCGACTTGTAAATGAGTTGAGAAGCAAACCACAAACAAAACTTGTGTAAGCTTCCGATGGGCCTGTTATTAAATGCCAGGAGCCCAGATGACTAGATCTACATGGCTACATGTACCAAGTATAAAGGTACACAAATGGTATTCTTAAGCACAATAGAATATCTATGGACAGAAATGGTGTGGAAATATGATGACTGTTACAACACCTTTGACTCATGAAGCATTTGAGACTTTTCTTGAGGTTGTATGAAGATTTCAAACAGTACTTTTAAAGTAATAGTCAACTGTTGAGTTGAGTTCACTGAGAAAATATCCATTATAACCTTCATGGGACTAATCCTCGAGGGCTTGTTAAACAATACAAAGACATAAAACAGGTATGAGGCCCCTTACATGCCACCAGTAGACAGCCCAGGGCCACCAGGTGCATCCTGCTCTCCTGGATGTCGTAGCTGTCCATGAACTGGTCCAGCAGGTACACGGCCAGGTGGAGCGCCGTGCAGTGGACACCCTGCTTCTCATTAATGATGCTCAACCAGTCCACCAGATACCTGCGTAAGCCCAACTGGGGGGACAGACCCCTGGTACAAAGAGAAAATAAATTTTTGACTGTATGTCGTGAAACTTAAATATGGTTTTCAGACTAATGTAAATTGTGAAACTTTTCCTTACATGAGTACCGCACTCTCCCTTTCAATCTTTCTGCAAACTAACACTACCGCCAATATTTCATGACTTGCAGTCGAAAGAGCTATCTGAAGCAAACTGGTGGACATACTTGAACGGCGGGAGTTCTGCCTCCTTGGTGCGGAGTGTCTCATGAATATCGGTTGCGAGCTGCGTCTTCCACCACTCCTTCTGAACCTCCATGGCTGAACCAATCACAGGCAGGCTCACAGGCAGAAGGCTTGACTACACACTACTGAGAGGACTGGGACAGAGGAAACTTGTCAGGATTATCACTTACACTAACAGGGACATTATCTATACCTATTCACCCCCCCTTTCACATCTATTTTTTGGAACAGCCCATTGACAAAAACTTGTTTCTCAGTTTGTTTTTCTGTGGGTGGGGGACTGTTCAGTAACATAAATTTCTTGTCCTGTCTGAACATGATACTTTTTATTATGACAAGAAGTTTATATGTATACACGTTTATGTACATGACTGTCAACTTAGTGTCAAGTGTCAACATGTGACCTGTATTTAGCCCAGTGGGCAAATTATTATCAAGGCCTTCATTCATTTATTCCAACCCCTAAATGGCTAATAATTGCAAACAAACAAATTTATAAGGTCACATAAAAACTGTTAAACAATACAAAAGGAAAGGAAAAATTGAAACAAAGCAAAGTGGATGATTGAAAAAGCCTCCTATCCTTGGTTGGAACAGAAAAGAAAGTGTGTACGTCATCAGAAACCCTTTGTTTCGAAAATCAATCAGAAAATTTATTACCGTACTGGATTCCTGTTAGAAATACTATCTTTATGATGACTACATGTTGGGTATTCTGTCTAAACTGTGGACATATAGAAAAGATTATCATTTCTGTGCAATGCCGATCCCGCCATGTGATTCTGATTTTCCCCATGATGGCCACGGTTCTCTGAACAAAAATGATGGGAACAATGAAAACAACACATCGAACCGCGCGCGGGCATGTATCGGCATGGCCAAATTTTCCTATTTTTCTAATCATACTATAAGTCATCTGAACGCGGCAACCATCGGCCTCACCTTTATTCTATTTCTGTCTCCTCTCTTCTACGACATCGTGTGGAGTTTGGAAAAGAATCTCAAGAAAATTTGAGACCGGTCTCCACCAGTTTGAGCCTCTTCTTCCTTGACCTAAGGTCACAGGAGGTAATTCATATTCAGAACTTCTGACCAATCAAATCAATGAATATCAGTCACGTGATTTTGCCCGACGGCTCCACGAGGATTGCCGAAGTACGCCGTGCTGGAGGTTCGGGATTTCCCGGAAGAGCTCGCCTAAAAAGGATTTTTCTAAAAATACCAACAATATGACATTTTTCATACGGATTAGGCCCTATGAATAAAAACTACTGACGTATTTGTTATATTGTACGCCTAAAAACGATGTGCAGACAAATGACATAATTTTTCAGTGGTTAGCCTCTTTTTTTACCAAATATGGTCATTGACCCCGAGAATCGCGCCACGGAGGTCAACGTCTCTCTTTCCGGTAGTTCGCTTCCTGATTTGTGGGAGTTTCAGACTGAAATACTACAAAAATCAACGGGAAAACTTTGGTTTCGGAAATGTCTGGCTATGAACAAAGTAAGTAGCAGCGCAGCGTTTGATATTCGTCGTATCTTGATAGTTCTGGAGAAATATTTTGTACCTTTTTTACGGGTTTGAAGGTTCAGAAACCGGCTTTTCTGCTGGGAGGGCGCGCCGGGTGTGTGTACAGTGTGATCATGCTGGATACCTAGGTTCACCTCCGTGGAATGTTTCTTAGGCCGGCTTCGTGCATATATTTAAATACGCATTCTACAGGCTAGTTTCGAGTATGACAGACTACAGAGAATCCTTACGGTATATGCAATGTTTAAACAACCAGATATATTATGTAGGGATCAGTGCATGTGCATATATAACAGTTGACAGTTTACTTCCTGAACTAAACTCAGTCAAACTTAAACAAGTAAGTACAAGGAGAATAAAAAAAAAAAAAATTATCATCCTTCTTCTAAGCTCCTTTGTAAGTAGTATAATTATGCGTATCAGTTGTTTCTTCTGGTGTTATTAACCCATATCTTTGTATGAAAATTGAAACGGCTTAGAGCCACAAAATGACACCCTGTTGTGTATGTCTGGCAGTGAAGTGTTATGTTTGCTAGCCACACACTACAACCTAGCATACCAGAGTGACCCGTCATGTACTATATGTATGATCAGCTTTTTCCTGTTACACTACACCCCTGCACCTCTCTGAAACACGACAAGCCTATACCTCTCCAAATATCACATACCGATGCCCAAAATAATTAACACATTGATATCTTATGTGGGTGGGTATATCTTTAGCCATTTCAAACATCAGAGGGATACAGTATACCCGGGGTATAGAGTTGTCAAATTTCTGCCACACCCTCTTATATTTGTTTTTTCCCCCCAGGAATTGATCCTAAGTAGTTACATTTTATGCAGGCAATGTAGCCAGAGCTGATAGAATAAGTTACAGTTTGCCCCAGGTGGTAGGTAGAAAGGAATAAATTATTAATATTGTTGCCATGGATTTCATCGCTTTAGGCAAACACTTTATACACATAATTGCAGGGTGCAAACATGGAACTGGAAAAAAACAGTTCCTTGAAATATACGTAAGTCTTGATTACTAGTCGTGCAAACCTCCTTGATTACTACCAGCTGTAAATTCAGCCAATTCATTCTAGTGATGCTATAGAAGAGTGATGGATGTCACTTGAAATGTCCAGAAGTGATCATACTTTATCCAATAGTAGAGTTTCAAATCGTCTTTGAGTATGTATTTAGGCCTAACAAAATAAATGTTGTGTTTCCTATTACAGTCCAGAAAAAATTAGGGTCGGTAGGTAGGGATTCCCTTTTTTTTTTTTTTTTTTTTTTAGTCAAAGCCGGGACAATGAACGTATGATCTGTTTGTACTACACAGAAAATTGGGCAGTACAAAACAGATCGTAAAATTCTTCAACAAAAGAGTTTGTATATACAGGGATCTCCCCAGAAATTCAGAACAGGGTAGAGGAGGGTGCGAAGGGGAGGTCTGGAGGGGGTTTCCCCCCCCCCCCTCCGCATTTTGTCTTTTCCAAACACAAATGGAGGTCATTTCCTGCAACTTCAGTTCTACATTTTCTGTACAACTGCAGATGTTATAAGGCAGTAGATAGGTTCAAGATCTGTACTTAATTATCCTCATGTTCCAAAAAAATTCTATTATCACCCTTAATTTTTAAAAAATTGGGCATAGGTTCCCCGGATGACCCCTAACCGGGGGCCAACGGTGCTTCCACAAGTTCAACAAGTGAAAAATACATGATACAAAATGTACATGTATTTACTACCTGGAACTTGGAGCAATTTATTCCAAAGATGTTAACTGACATTAATATATTAAAAACTAAACCAAATCCTATTTCTCAAACAAATCACATATTGACACAGCTGAACAAATAAAAATGTGATCATGTTTATAAACTCCAAAACAATTTTAGAGAGACACTCGGGT